TAAGTCCTTAACGGTGTGCCAAGGAGATGAAAGAGCATTACAATCTAGTTAATGAACTGACATACCATACTTCGCTGGAGGAACTTATATACAACAAGCCTTTAGGTTGTATACAATTAAATGTAAGTTAAACCGATTATACACACTTAAAATTTTTAACTAAAACTAAGGGTGTCAGCAATGACGTCTCTATTGCAAGCACAGCGCACTCGGCAGCTTCTATGGCAAAGGTGTAAACAACACAACCGGAGAATAAAAAGACAAAATTCAGAAAGACACTACATATACTGAGGGTAGGGTGGTACGGAGAACAATCAAACACAAGATAAAGAAAATATTCAGATGCTCTCATTTTTGGTCCAAATTTTAGTTTCCTTTGTTGAATAATGATTATGGTTTTCACTGAGCTGGGAATATCGAAAAGGCAAACTCAGAAATTAGGCTGGATGACCGAATCTACACTTTTGCAACAACAAAAAAGTTCATATCGTTAAATTCCCTCTAGTGAAGCAAAGGCAGGTCTAAGCATCCTAAAAGAGTCAAGATTTGTAAACCCCTTAGACCTGAAGAGAAAAGACAGAAAAAGCAACTAATAAACGCACATCTTAATATTTCCCGGTGTTGGCACTTAACGCGGGGAGACAAGGAGAGTAGCATCCTGAAACTGCAAAGCGGAAAACGCCAGCAAGGGCCGGGGCTGGGCAGGATACCCAGAACCAAGAAGAGGTCTTCTTACTACCTCCACCAGAATTGTTGAAAGCGCCTAAAACAAGGATACTAAGAATGGGGGATGAACATTTTTAAATAGGGCGCCAAAAACGCACTAAACAGGAACGGACTAAACCCGATGTTCGAAAGAACGCGTACTTCTCCCGTCTTTCGGCCACTGACCTAGGAGCCACCGTGGCGTCCCCTCGAGCTTTCTTTTGAATAATGCGGTGAGGCCACGGTGGAAGCCGAAGACGGCCGCTTTGCTCCACCTCCGACAAGGTACCCAAGCGCCCAGAGACGCCATGCCGGTTGCGGCCATCTTCCCAGAGGTCCCTGAGCACCGAGCTCACCTACAGAGTCGCTCAGCGCACAATAAGTAGGCTGCGCATGCGCCACCGGCCGGAAGCCCGGACTTGCTAAAGAGCACCCCGGGAGAGTTTCAACAGAGAGCGCACATGCGCAGAGCGTCGTCGCGCTTGCCCTCGTCACTATTGGACAGCTGATTCTCTCCGGCAGTTTTTGCCCTTGATGTCTGGGAATGTTTTGATTGACCTCAGTAGGCGACCTTTTTAATGAGCAGATAGATATTACGTGGCTGAAGGTGCGGAGAGAATCTGTATCCAACGTTCCTAGATAGGAAACCATCTGATCATCCCGAGGACACTAGGCAGCGGAAGCATAAAATGCTAGCTAGGCTGCTTGCATTATAAATCGCTCTCTCGCCCTGATAGTTTTAAGCCATACCGGAAATGCTTCCAAGATCTGACCTTAATCCTGCTTGCAGAAATACCCAGAGCGGACTTGTCCACCGCTCCTTCGATTTTTCTTAAGCTCTTTGGATGCCTGACAGTTGTTTTTTTTTGTTTGTTTGTTTGTTTGTTTTGTTTTGTTTTAATTATTCCGTCCGCTGCCTCGTGTTATGTGCAAAATAAATCCCAGTAGATAAACGATCTCAACGGAAAAATAAAATTGAGAGGATTTAAGTACAGAGAATATTTTAATAGCTTGGGGATAGAAGGGACTCTCTTAAGCAAGATATGAAACTAAATTCATTAAAAAATGTATATGAATTTCAACTTTTTGAATGGCAAAAGTCATCTTGAGTCAAATGGGAGTCTAGAAAAACTGATTTTACAGAACAGGTAACAGAACGTTAATACTTTTATTCAGCCTGCTCCTAGAAAAAAAAGGGAAAAAAATCTATTAATTTCAATAGAGTTAGTCGATGTCTGTGAATAGGCAGTTCATACGTGAAGATATTCAGCTTCACTAATTGAAAAATGCAAATTGAAAAAATAACGTTACTTTTCTCACACATCAGATTTGCAAAAATTAAAAAGAGCAACTATTGGCAAGGACCCTGGGAAACTCGCACTCGTGTAAGTTGGTAGGGGGGTCAGCTGCTAAACTCTTCTGTCAGGTAATCTCACCACATCTATTAGGATTTATAAAATATGCAAAATTTTCAGTGCTCTTGACCCAGTGGCCCCACTTTGTGACTCTCCTGTAGAAAACAACACTAGTTCATAAGGCGGTATATTACCTGCTAAATTTTTATCTGCACCATTTTTAGAAGGAAGCAGAAGAAAAAAATGGAGTAGTCAATAACAGAAAAATAGTTGAATAGTCATTCAATGGGCATAGGGGTTTCTGAATTTTAGCTCTGGGACCCTTCCAATTAATCCTGGGGGTGACGAGCATCATCACGTAAGATCTTCATTTTTTCTACTTCAGGTTACTGTGGTTGGTGTGATACTTAAGTAAAGCCACTTTATATGTTGGTCATAAATTTTGGAGCAATGACTGGTGCTAGAGTTAGAGGCAAAGCTGGATACAGTGAATCAGCCTATCTTTGGTATGTCTTGGGAACCTGTCTTATTGGAACATACTGAAAAACTTGGTTAAATAAAAATTAAATACTTTCTTGAGTGGTGTAGTGCCAGAAATAGATAGCAAGGAGGGCTGCTTGATTTCAGGTTGTACTCCAAAAGCTGGTAAGCTATTTCGCCAATTCTCCATTAGGCCCGTTGTAAACTACAAAGGAATTAAATCAGTAAGGTAATACACAATGCACATCACTTCACTATCCCTTGTATCTTAATAATCAACATTTCTCACTGTGGTTTTTTGGATAATTGCAAATATTCTCAATCATTCCTTTCCTTATTCTCTCCCTTTATTTTTGCAAATCTTGTATTTTATGTGCAGCAAAATGAAAAAAAAAAAAATCTGACTTGTGTCCATAATGGGAAAAGCACCGTACATGGACTGTTTTCTTTACACACCCTTATCAGTATAACAAATCAGGAAAACTTGTGACTAGGTCAAGTGAAGATGCTTTTACCCACAGTGATGGGCTTGAAGTAAACTAATCTGTTTCCATACCCACTGTCAATGTTGCATTCCTTAACAGGAGTTATCGATAGGACATATTGTGCAGGGCCATTTCTCTCTCTGAAATCTGCTGCCTTAGCCCAGGGAGATAAATGAGTCACTATCAAGTAAAGCCCTTTATTCACATCTGCATGATTTTTTCCCTGCTGGAGAAGTAGGCACAGTCCTTGCAATCCCCAGTAATAACTGCATCTCTGTAAAAAGACAGTAAGAGAAAAAAAAAAAAAAAAGACAGTAAGATGTCAGATTTGTCAGGGGTTATCTCACTTTGTTAGCAATAGAAATGTGACCAGAGAGACTCAGAATTACTTCGGTTTATAAAACTACAAATCGTAATGTGAACACACAACTTTTGTGGAGATTCACAATTGACTTTTGCTGATTAATCCATCCCCTGTCATGTCACCAACAGGTAACTGCCTCATGAGAGAGGAGTTTATTTTCAAATGTGAAATCTGGTCAACATTTGAATCCATACTCAACATATTTTAACACACGTTTTAAAAGGTTTACTACATCATGCAAGATATAATGCTGATTCGAACATCTTTATAATCCTACAAAGTACAGTACAGACAAGTTATATCTTTACAATGACCAATAAAATGTTGGCAATTGCATTTCACTCTTTTAGATCATTATACAGGGTTTGGGGTGATTCTCTGAAAAAAACACATTATAAAAAAGTCTTTTGCAATCATGACCTTGTCCTCCACTGTTCAAGTAAAATCATGTGTCATCCAGTTGCAAAATCATATTATTGGCAACATGTATACAAACCACACTGCAAAGTTTTAAGAATTGTACCCCATCAGGCCTGACAAAGATTTTATGGACACTTTCAATCTAATTGTTTCACCTGTACTAGTAAGCAAAGCCATCATTTTCTACTTCTATTCATTTGCCAATTTTTAGAAAACAGTACGTTCATACTTGCAATACACACAACATAATAAAGCAGGATAAAGTCATTTGAAAAACTGTTATAAAACAGACTTGCCTGAAGTCATTTCATCCAACAAAAATTAATTTAACTCTAAAAAACAAAGGCTAAATGTAAAGAAATACATAATGAAATTGTACATTACAAAGAACATTAAGTCGAAGTTCATTTTCCTTTTTATAGAACTATGCTACTTCAGTAAGTAAGTATTTTAATTGGTCTGTTCTTTGGTGAAAACAGAGGTCTGATCCATCCTTATATCACATGAGGCTGCAATCAACAGCTGTGTTCCACAAAAAAGAGGAAACAGACAATCTAAAGGAAATCAGCCACTGGCTGCCTTTATTCTCAGCACTGGGGATGGAGAAATCTTTAGCAAACCATGAAATAATCTCCTTATCTTAAATTGCTCAAAGTGACAGAATGTTTAATAAGGTGGCTTCTGTCTAAAACACTCAGCTTTATGTTTTTTCTTCTTTTATGAAAAGCGACTTGCTGTGTATATACGTACAATAGCTTATACCAGCGGTAACTCTTCAGAGTCAACTTTCTAGACAGTTGATGGCATCAAAGTACCATTTGAAAATGAAGAGTAACGCTATATGCAATTCATCACCTGGAACTACCACTATTAAAGAGAAGTCATATCAAGTCTTTGGTTTAGGCGCAGTACTTAATAATTAGGGCAAAACTCCTCAGAAAAATATATTCCCTTCCAAACCCTTATTTGCTTCTATTTATAAAATAACCTCCAGAAAAATGCTTTTTAAAAAACCGGTTGATAAGCAATAATGTCACTACCAATAACTGGGGTGCTACAATAATTTCATATTTCCAGGTACACACATTTTGTAAACCGTTCCGTTTATTTCACCAAAGTAAACAATCGGCAAAAATAGTTTATAAGAAATGTTCCTGTAAGTGATGCTATTTACCAAAATAGTGGTTTTTTTTTTTTTCTCATGGGTGCTTCAATCCTTTTGCTATTTATGATCCAGCTTTGGATGTAAACCCCTTTTCTTCTCTTTTATAAATGACTTCCTGTTAATATAAAAGGAGTTCTGAGTATACACAGCGAGAGGGATGGGTGCGCCGGGTCCTCCGGTCTGGGATCGAACATGGCTTCGTTCTCGTAGGAGATTACTGCAGCCTGCCCTGCCGTCGGCGGTGGCGCCCCGGCCCTACAACAGGAAGTGCGTGTACCCTTCCGCGCCGGTGACGATCACATCCATCCAGATCCGCATGGCTTCCGGCGACGGCGCGACCATGTAGTAGATTCTGTCGTGCGTCTTGACGCTGAAGGTGAGTAGTGGGTTAGGACTCTAAAGTCAGAAAAGGAAAAGGAAGGTAAAACATACACCCTGAGATCACCTTAAGTGACCCAGACATAGGGGAAGGCTTCTTCCTCTTTAGAAGTTCTAGATGTACGGAACTCTACATTGGTGTTACTGTTGTTCTAGTGGAACCTGGGGCCCCACCTGCAGCAGCTTTCTGGAGGTCGGTTGTGTTTCCAGACTTTCTGCACAAGAGATCTCACACAGAGAGCTCGTCAATCAGTCCTCTCAGCAGCCAGGTTGTAGGCACAGCTCTAGCCAGTACCTATTTGATAGTGGGTGCTCCATAAATGACAGCTCTTCTTAGCCTGCTAAGATTCTTCCTCGCAAGCAAGTAGTAGCTCCTTCTTAGAGCCTCACCAAAAGTCACTTAACAAGGTCTTTTAAACTAATACGAGCAATTTTCTCACTTCACCATGACTTATTTCCCCCCTCAAAAGATCAGCTGTATTAATTACTTCTGTGTTCGCTTTTCTAGAAGCGTAATTATTATATCAATCAGTTATGTCAGAACAACAAATCTAAATTGCATGGGGTTCAAAAAACATCTTTTCTCCCAACTTAATTATGCATTCAAAGGACAGAAATCTGAAAACCAGTGTTTACCTTATTAGCGTTCTTGAGGTGATCATAATACACTTCTTCAATGGCTTGGAAGTATATCACTCCTTTTAATTTAGCTTCATGCTTGTCTGCAATAATAGTGTTAAAATACTTTATCACCACGGAATGACTGGAAACATTATAATTTCAGTATAATTATTACAATACTGATCCAGTTTTTAAATTACCTAAGATTAATTTGGATAATTTAGGTGAAAGCATTAGCCCAGTTCTATACTGAATAAAACAATGAAAAAAAGGAAGACTCAGCCCAGACCTCAGAGACTAATTGACTTTGCCCAAGGCTTTCCAGCAAATCTTCAGTCAAAAGACAACCCAGAGCTCCTGATAGTCAAATTAGCACACAAATTATAACCACCACTGACACTGATACAAATATCTCCTCACATTCTCCAGACCAGTGGTTGTCCCGGAGACATTAGTATGCAGAGCTGTTGTAATGAAATTTGTAAGAAGGGTATTTTTTGGACATCATTTAAAATAATATACTACTTATATTCCTTTCCTATGAATTTCTTATCCATCATGCTTTTTCTCCTGTTCCTGAAAGAGCTTGTCAGTAATTTAATGTCCTTTCAATGCAGCATTTTCCAAGCGATTTCTACGATTTCATCAAATTTGCCATAAAAACCAAACCAAACAAAAACAACCAAGCAGGGGTGCCTGGATGGCTCAATGGGTTAAGCCTCTGCCTTCAGCTCAGGTCATGATCTTGGGGTCCTGGGATCGAGCCCCGCATCGGGCTCTCTGCTCAGCTGGGAGCCTGCTTCCCCCTCTCTCTCTGCCTGCCTCTCTGCCTCCTTGTGATCTCTCTCTGTCTCTCTCTCTGTCAAATAAATAAATAAAATCTTAAAAAAATAACAAAAACAAAAACCAACCAACCAAACCAGCAACAAACAGGATCCCTCTGGGATCTAATAAATTCTTGAACTATTTTGTAAGATCATAAATGCATGTGAGCATACTAAAGAATTTTAAAAGCATGGATGGGGTTGCAAAGAAAGAGACTCTATCATATGCTGCTGATGGAAGTGCAAATAAGAAAGCTTTGGGAAGGCAGTTTGGGAAAACAAACCGATTAAAAATGTAAATAATCCTCTCACTCAGCAATTCCACTCCTCAAGCTTTATTGTATCAGAGCTACTCATGCACAAGCACATGGATTTGTGTTCTTTATGGCAGAAGACTGCAAAAAATCTGCTTGAATTTAACAAGGGACCGATTCAATTAGAGATCGGCCATACAGTGGAATCCACACAGCCACTGAAATTCAAGACTAGGTCTGTGTGTGCTCATTAGAGAAAAATCTTGAAATACTGTTATGTGAACAAAGTGAATAATTGGCCCCAACTATATAAAAAAAAGAAAGAATACATAGATATAGTGAAACATATATGCAAATGGAGAAAAGGTCAGAACGTTTGTGATGTGAAAGAGACTTTCATTATATAGACTTCTGTTCTATTTTTAAGAATTTTATTCATGAATGTCTTTTTTTCAACAACAAAAAGCTAGTCTGAAAAACAACAGCCCTGAGAAGTTCAGTGGAAAATAAAAAGCTGTTAAAGTATATTTAATTCAATATTTCCCTGACTTATTTGACCCTGTTTGACCATGGACCATATTTGTATGTTTGTTTTACTCTTTCTCAGGAAACACTGTTTTAATTCATGCCACGTTCACTGGGTTTCCATCAGTTTCTGTTAAAGAGGTCAGTGTGTCTCTCAGATATTCACGGGGAAGGATTCTGTAATATTAATGGGAACACAGCAATACTTTATTTTCTGAAAACAGATGTTAAATAAAATCTGCAGATGAAAGTAAATCTTATCAGTGTTTCCAGGAGGCAGAAAACTGGGGAATGAAACTTTCGTTTGTAGGGCACTTCTTATATGGGAAAGAGCTTAAAAAACACTGACCTCACAAGGACAGGGTGAACTAAGAGAATCAATAATGCTATTATAAACTAACACGAGAAAGCTATTCATTCAGTTTCCACATTATCCCATCAATTTACAGATATATTTTCTGGGTCTTAGTTTTCTTTAGAGACTTTCCTAAGGGTACCGAGTTAATATGGAGGCCTGGGGGCATGATCAGCACAGGGACTTAGAACAGTGTCAGCACTCATGGTGACAGCTCCTTCACAAACACAGAGACCATCTACCTCAGCGGGAGCTGAAGGGGTACGGTGCCTGGGGGGGGTCCAGTCCAGCCTGAACTGCGATCTCTATGGCTTCCTGTGGACTGATCTATTCCTGCACTTGGTGATGTTTAGGGAGACTGGAGGTGAGGGGAGTAGACAAGATAATGATGGCTATCAACAGAGCCAAACGAACAGCATTTGTCAAACTAGGACTCCCTGGCCAGTTATATAATACGTAAATATTAAAAACCTGAATGAGGGGTGCCTGGGTGGCTCAATCGGTTAAGCATCTGCCTTCAGCTCAGGTCAGGATCCAGGGGTCGGAATCAAGCCCTGCATGGGGCTGCCAACTCAACAGAGAGTCTGCTTCTCCTTCTCCCTCTCACTCCCCCCTGCTTGTGCTCTGTCTCTTGCACTCTCTCTCAAATAAATAAATAAAATCTTAAAAAAACAATAAAAATAAAGACCTGAATGAAATGTAATTTTTGCCTGTATTATGTATTACACTTCTGAGTAATCATTCATATACCGAAATGGTTTTGGTCCTTAAAACAAAACAAAACAAAATGAAAACTGATCATCAAGAAGTTTGAATTTGGAAAAATGCATTTACATGGTCAGAAGGAGCACAGGTTCTGACACGGGTCAGAAGGAAGGGGAAGTAAGCAACTAATCAGGCTGCCAAAGGAAGGAAAGAGAAGAGAAGCAGAGAAGAGTGAAGCTGTTTTGTCTGAAGCTGCTAATTAAAATTTTACTTTTGGAAAATTCTGGGTGAGATTGTCTGTGGAGACTAGCACAGTGCAAAGTTTTGTTTGTGGATTTTGCAGACGCTAAATTGGGATTTCTTCTTCAACTAGCATCTTTTCTGTTTTACTAACTGAAGAGAACATCTCTGGATTCCTAATAAACCCGACATCAGAAAGCTCAAGAGAGGCAAGCAGGGCCCCTGAGGGTTGGGCCACCTGCTTCAGGCCACTAGCTGCTGGATTAACTGGAGCCCCACCAAAGTGCTCCCAAAGGTATGCACCCCTACCCCCTTCTCACCCGAATTCTGGGGCTCCACAAGCCAGTGTTCCCCTTCTTTCACATGGCTTTTTGGTCACTTGCACTTCTCTTTATAAATGTATCCTGACCTCACACCATAGATGAAGGGACTGGGCCGTTTTTTCTTATTTATGACACCGGTCTAACAATTTCTGACAGTGCTCATAAATGGTGACACCTTCACCACAGAGAAGGGTCTCTTCATAACCTCTGACTTAATACTACTTTTCTTCAATTGTTGAAGAGAGCAGAACGTGACCTGGACTCACGATGGATGTGTTTCCTATGTGACCCGGGAGACTTCTTAATAAGAACCTCAGTTACATCCATATTCCTGTATTTTTCAAAGATTCAGTAGGGTAGTTTTCTCATAATCCATCATTTAAAGAATCCAAAAAGAATTCAGTCATTTAGTAAATACTTGTTCACTTGTTCGCTGATGAGCTTTACCCTCTGCTTCAATAACCACTTTAGTCTATAAACTCTAGCTGAGTGACTGTCAGCCAAGGCTGCCTAATTGTGTGTGACTTAAATAGGGCAGATGACCATAAATAAATAAACAGAAACCTTTTTCTGGCCTCATGGTTTAAAAGCCAATATATTGGTCTAAAAAGGAAAATTCCATTTACTACTTATTTGGACTTCAGCTTATTTCAGAACTGGAAGAGATGAATTCACTTTTTTTTTTTTTTTAAAGATTTTATTTATTTATTTGACAGAAAGAGACAGAGAGGGAGGGAACACAAGCAGGGGGAGTGGGAGAGAGAGAAGCAGGCTTCCTGCTGGGCAGGGAGCCCAATGCAGGGCTCGATCCCAGGACCCTGGGATCACGACCAGAGCTGAAGGCAGACGCTTAACTGACTGAGCCACCCAGGTGCCCCACGAATTCACACTTTTTAAATAATATGTAGTTTTTATTATTTCTAGAGAAGAAATTCATATCAGGGGGACTATCCTGAATATAAAATAATACATATCTGCAAAGCCAAGATTGCCATTAATTCTATTACTTACCAATCAACCCATCCAGCCTGAAGTTTATTACCTTTGCTCTTTAACAGAGAGTTCCTGATTTGACTATATCACTTAGCGTTTTCTTTTAATCACTCACCTGCATAATAAGAGAATGTGCGCTTGTTCCGATCAAAAACAAACCATCGTTTTTTCCACGTTTTAATTTTTCCACCCATTTTGATAAGGAATCCTCGGCAGGTCTTCTCTGTGATTGACACATGATAACAGGTATCGATATTGTGGCCAGCAGTCTCTACATGGCTTCGCAAATCAAAGTCTTCCTTCCGGACAGGCAGATAGCGCGTCAGAGGTCGAGCCTGGAAGAGAAAACCATGTCAAATATAGCTAAATATTTGTTGCGTTTCAGGCCACAGATGTTTAGGTGTGGACATGAACTGAAAAGCCTAAGTGTTAAAATGTCCAAATGATTAGAGGAACTTGAGATAAACATTAGAGTTTTAAAAAGTGCATAGTATTTTAAGAAGGATGCTACAATACGTGGGGGTGGGAGGTGGATAAACTCAGGGGAATAGATTCTACTCCTTGAAATGGACAGAGAAGGGGCGCCTGAGTGGCTCAGTGGGTTAAGCCTCTGCCTTCAGTTCAGGTCATGATCTCAGGGTCCTGGGATTGAGCCCCGCATCGCGCTCTCTGCTCAGCAGGGAGCCTGCTTCGCCCCCTCTCTCTGCCTGCCTCTCTGCCTACTTGTGATCTCTGTCTGTCAAATAAACTCTTTAAAAAAAAAAAAAGAAAGAAATGGACAGTGGAGAAAATGGAAAATGCCATTAATCTTAGCTTTGTAGGAGGTACTTAGCACTTAAAAACAGGGAATCCTGTGAGGCATGAAGTTCCCTTGGCTGCTTCCTCCAGATGAGGACTCCTTTCCTGTGAAGTTCCCTGAACCTCTCCCAATATAACCTAACATCAGTTCTTCAGTATTCTCAGACACCACCTGATGGGTGAATATTATTTAGTACTTCCCCCCACCCTACCCCCTGCAAGATCTCCCAAAGCTATAACACATCAACTCATACACACTCCCTGATAGATATCAAAGGCAGAGATGTTGGTTTTGAAAAGTGAAGCTAAAATAAAGTAAGCAGTAGAATCAAAGCCGTACTCGATGAGCTGCGCAATGAGCAGATATGAACAAGAGCTACATAGATGCTTTTTATTTTACTATGGTTGGGAGGAAAGGATCATCTAATCCAGGAAGCTTGTATCGCCAAGGGTCATATTTCTAAGATGGTGTTTCATTTATTCTGTTAAATAACCCCGCCCCTCTGCTCTGGGGAAAATGACCTAAATATATACTTAGAGGCAAACCTTATCATTAGGATTAAAATAGAATTATGCTTTCTGGTTCAGCTTCAAATAATAGGCAGGCATGGATGACCTTCACTGCGAATCATAATTTGGCAGAGGATCAACATAATGAAATAAAATGAACACGTTTTCTTCTGTACTTTTCCTTCAGTATTTTGCCTTTGATTCTGTGGTGTTTGACTTCAGACAGATGTCACAGACACTGATGCCTCAAAACACAGTCTTCAAGAGAGCCAGTCTCTCACTGCGTGAGTTAAGAAAAAACGGCCCAGTCCCTTCATCATTACCACACTGCCAGCAACTATAAAGAATAGGGGAAATGGCACCTTTTATGAAGCCTAGTAAACCTTGGCAAAATGGATTTGAACCTGATATTAAAGGGCACTGGATGAAATTTCATTTTAGTTCCTCAGCAAACATAGATTATGTAGGCAGCCTTAGTGACAGAGATTCAAACTCTAAGATAAGCCAGAGAGGAAGTTAAAGGAAATGCGTGGTTTTCCTGAGTTTTGTTTGAGTTCAGAGACCTTGCACACATGTGTGGACGGCTGTAGCAAAGGGACATGTGTGATAATACAGTGGTTAGAAAACCAAACCAAAACAAAAAACCCACTAACACTACCAAGAAATTGGGTTGGTAAAATTGTTATTTGTTCTGGAGTGTTTGCTTCCAAAAATGGCTTACTAGACTCTCTTCTCTTCCTCAACCAAAGGCTCAGTTTGGGTGTTCTATTTGTTTTCAGTGGTAAGTCAAACTGCATTTTTCAAAGCTGCTTAGAAAAAAACATGCTTCTTTTAAATATACTGCACAAAAGAGGTGGAAGAAAAAAATCCCTCTCCCATAAAAATGTACCACGCATGACTACAGAAATGTGCCATTTGGCTAGTAGATCCCAATGGGTTTTGAGATAAACATACATTTTTTGGTCTCTGAACCCCCCCATCTGTCTCTTATCAGTCACATGTCAAGGGCTGCTGACGGCAAGGGGTCTGGGAAGGCATCCTGACGAGCATGATCGTCTTCTGCAGAATGACCACCAGGGGGCGACCTATTCTAAGCCATCCAGAGGCCCACCAACCTGTGCCCTCTGTTTCTCCCGTATTTTTACTTCCTTTTCAATTAATTTCTGCCGCTGGCTAGTTTCTTCCTGCAATCGTTTTTCCAGAAGTTCTCGGCGTCGTTTTTCTTCTTCCAGAGCTCGTTTCTTGGCTTCCATTTCCCGTTCCTAAATATCATCATGCAGAACAAAATTAAGACATGTTGGTTACCCTTTAACGATTCCAAAAACTAATGGAAAAGAAAATTCACACTAGATAATTGCTGGTTGTATAGCCTGGGTGCTCCAATAGACCTCCTAGACTAAAATCACTTTTCTCACATAGTTTTCAAAATCATCTCACACAGAAAGGCAGCCACCACATTTAACCAACAATTGAATATTGGGTGAAAATCCCACTTGTGGTATTCAGTCATTTCATACAGACGACCACCTATCTCCCACTTTTAATAAAAAGGATCACAAATTGTCACCCAACACTAATCGAGGCATTTAGCCCTCCTTTCGAAGGCCGTCTTTTAACCAAAGGCCATCAGTCCTGGTCCTTCCAGTTCCTTTGTTGCTCTTCGGCTTCCTGGCTTAAGGTCAGAGGCAGAGGAAGCTCAGAGGGAAGTCAGAAGAGGAAAGGCGGGGCCCTTTAAGGCAGGATGCAAAGGCATTTGGGGGGATTCCTAAGGAAGTTCAGATTCTGGCTTGAAATACAGTCACAATAACTTGGGATTTTAAATATTATAATAGCACAGTTCACACAAGCTGGCAAGGAAGGGAGAGTCCATAAAGATATGACATTCCTCCCTGTTCCTTGGCAGGCAAACAAAGTGTCCATCAAAGGGAAAATGCAATACAAAGCACTCATTTCGGTCGACACTGACACTCTACATATTTTAAATTACAAAAAATTGTGGTGCAGTAAGGAGCCTTAGAAATCTTCTCTACCACCGTTACTTTTCAGATAAAAAAAAAAAAAAATGAGGCCAACAGGGTTGAGTGATTACTCCCAAGATTATATTGCTTCTCAAGACCCAAGGACAGTTTCCTGTCACATGCAGGCAGGATGAACCGTTGCCTCACGGACCTCTTGTGTAAAGATAGTACGCCTACCCTGGACTCAAGCAGCCGGGTCTTCTCTGCGTGAGCCTGCTTCAAAAGTCTCTCCATTTCTTCTATCCTGGCAATATTTGACGTGCTGGCACTGAAGAGAACACAAAGGCCTTTTAAGAATGTTGCTTGAGATTGAGGTCTCTTGACACACATACACATACGCGCACAGGCACGCACACGCACAGCTTCCTGGAAGGCGCATGACACGATCTGAAGTCATTTAAAGGATGTTACTTGGCAAAGTCATTGGCCTGAGTAGGCCAGTCAGTTTAGCTCTGAAAACTGTAGGTGCCATTGATTTACCTCAGTTTAGGAGACAAACTATAGGCAAGAAAGATAATACCAAAGTAAAGTGCCTTACTCATAAATAAACAAACCCCAACTAAATCTAACGAAGTGTTTTCAAGATGCTTTTTCCAGAGTCTAAAAATTATAGACCGTGGGAGGGTTTCCTGTTTCTTTAATTGTTCAGAGATACCAGGCCAATAAGACAATCACCGAAGTTCTACAGACATGACACCTATGGTGTGAAGTCACTTTATTTGGCTTGGAAGTGTGTCCCCAGCTGCTTTTTTGCTATGCCTCTATACACATGGACATTTTAGGGGGTGCCTGGTTGGCTCAGTTAGAAAAGAATGTGACTCTTGATCTCCAGGTCATGGGTTTGAGCCCCACATTGTGTGTAGAGGTTACTTTAAAAAATACACACACACGGGGCGCCTGGGTGGCTCAGTGGTTAAAGCCTCTGCCTTCGGCTCAGGTCATGATCTCAGGGTCCTTTAAAAAAAAAAAAAATTCCTGGGATTGAGCCCCGTTGGGCTCTCTGCTCAGCGGGGAGCCTGCTTCCCCCCTCTCTCTGCCTGCTTCTCTGCCTACTTGTGATCTCTGTCTGCCAAATAAATAAATAAATAAATCTTAAAAAAAATACACTCACAGGGACTTTTCTTTCTTACATGATGATGCCAGTTAAAAAAAAAACACATACAAAAACCTCTAAAAGTTGCAACAGAAGGGTGGTGGCAGTTTTGTCAATAATACTCATCCACCATACCGATAAGGGAACCCCCATGAAGGGAATCCAGAGCCTCAAAAGAAATCCATCTTGAGAAAGACATCATGCAGATGAGTGAAGGAAAAAACCAAAAGGAATAAAGGCTGCAAGAACAGTTAGGGTAAATAAAGAGAAAGAAAAGAATGTGGAAGTGATTAACACTAACCAAAAATGTTATTTTTCTCTTACATTTCATTTGTGTGTTCTAGAAAAAAAGGCATGACCTAGGTCAAAACTTCCTTACTCTAATGTCCCAGCCATAGAGAACCAGTGTTATTTCCTATGTGTGTAGACTGTGTAGCCATTTAATAAATGCTTGTTTTCTAGACTCTCTTGGGGACAGAGATGCTTTTGTTCCTGTATCTTCCATCGCCTGGCACACAGTAGGGATTCATGCCAGATGCATTTACATAAAAATGAATTTTTATGAAAATGAAAAGGATAATTCTTAGTATAGTCTCCCCATATGATACTGTTGAACAACTCAAATCTAGAATGTTTCAAACACAGGGCTAAATTCCTTTACCAAGATAAATGACCACAGTAACACAGTGCATATGGTTTATCTTAAAATCAGTAGCAGCAGTTTTACAGTAGCTTCATTCCTAACTGCCAAAATTTGGAAGCAACCAAGATATCCTTCAGCAGATAAATGAATAAACTGTAGTACTTCCAGACAATGGAATATTATTTAGCATTAAAAAATGAGATATCAAGCCATGGAGAGACATGAAGGAAGCTTAAATGCATATTGCTAAGTGACAGAAGGCAATCTGAAAAGGCTAAATACTGTTTGACTCCAACTTGATGACATTCTGGAAAAGTCAAAACCATGGAGACAGTAAAAAAGATTAATGGTGGCCAGTGGTTTGAAGTGGGGTGGGCCGTGGGGTGGGGGGGGGAGGATGAGTCTGCAGAGCACAGAGGATTTTCAGGGCAATGAAAACCCTCCCTATGACACTATAATGATCGATATATGATGTTATACATTTGTACAAACCCACAGAATGCATAACATCAAAAGTGAACCCAGTTGTAAACTACAGACTTTGAGTGATAATAACGTGTCAATATAGGTTCATCAATTTTAACAAATGCACCACTCTGGTGGGGGATGTTGATGATGGGGGAGGCTGTGCGTGTGTGGGGACAGGGGGTATACAGAAACTCTCTGTACCTTCTTTTCAATTTTGCTGTGAACCTAAAGCCACTCTAAAAAATTGTCTTTTAGAAAAATTGTATCCATCCAGGAAGGGGACAGCCTTAGGACTGCTGTGTCCTTAGAAGCTTAACTAATATCTCTGTACTTTTCAGGGTTACATTGGGTCCATTGTTAGCTGGGTGTGTTCTCCTGATAAAGAGAGAACAGTTCATTTCCATGAACTGTTGGGGGAGGTACAAAGGGTAAGTTCTGTTCTTTTCAACCAGTAAGAATTAAAGAAAAAATCTTTAATATTTGTACAGGAATGTGTATCTTCTTTATCAAGAACAGTCAAGGTCATAGATGTTAAGTGGCACACTTCATCAGCTCAGCTAAGAGAGCCAAAGACAAACATCAGGCCCTTTAATCACACAGTATCGTGTTTATATTCGATTGTGTTGTCTGTGACATCAGGTGTCTATGTCTTATGTCTCCTATTGATTTGGAAATAAATAATTTAATTTCACTAAGTCTCAGGTCTTAAAAACTCACCAATATTCTAACCCCCATTTGTCCTTTAGTTCTTTCTAGAACATACTCATCTTTTCATCTAGTTTGTGCCTGAACATTGTTAGTTACGGAAAAACTTTCTGTATCCCTTCTTTCACTGTTGGGACATCATTGTTAGAATGTTGATAAGCTGAGTCAAAATCTATCTTCCTATGGCTTCCATTTATTGGCCTAAGTATGACCTTGAGCTCCTTGAAACCTGTCCAGAGGAATGGGTTGGAAATAACTTGGTTAGAAACAAATATTTTCAGTCCATGGTTTTTCATAAATCTATAATTTGGGCATATCCTGGGGGTAAGTTTTCAAATAGTTATCTGTCTTTAAATCTGTTTGTTCATTTTTTAGAATTTTTCAGGGTGTTTTCCATTTATCTTATAATATTTATAGTTAATTTTCTGCCAATTATATTCAGTTTGCTTATTTGGCGATATTTCCATAAATGTCTTAATTTTTGCTCCAAAGGAACTCAATTTTCTGAAAACACTTGATACATAAAAACAATGATACATGTTAACACTTACCACCTGAGTGTTCATAACCTGTAGAAACCTAAAGTCACCCACTTTTTTAAGCTACATTTTATATACTTTAAAGCTTCTTTGGTTATTTAGTTAAAAAAAGACCTTGTAGGGGCGCCTGGGTGGCTCAGTGGGTTAAAGCCTCTGCCTTCGGCTCAGGTCATGATCCCGGGGTCCTGGGATCGAGCCCTGCATCAAGCCCCGCATCAGGCTCTCTGCTCAGCGGGGAGCTTGCTTCCCCCTCTTTCTCTTTGCCTGCCTCTCTGCCTACTTGTGATCTCTGTCTGTCAAATAAATAAAATCTTAAAAAAAAAAAGACCTTGTATTCACAGATACCTACTTATTCTCTATAGCCCCACTTTTGCTATTTTTGATGTTAATATTTCCTTGACAGGTAAACCACTTTTATTTAGCAAAACTCCTACTGCTCTGTGGTACTCTGTCACCACCATCTTTACTTTTCTGTCCCATCAGGGTTGTGCCTACACTGAAAAGGAAAGGCTGCTGCAATGGGAATGCAGGGAAAAGTCTAGACTGGTCATACCATGGCATCAATGGCAGACACCAATGTCAGCAAGTGAAATCCTGAGCACTTGCCATGCAGAAGGAGAGTCTGATGTCCCTGAAGATAAGCTTGATACTGCATTGCCTAGAACACAACACTCATCTTTGTTTTCTCAAATGCGTCCACATTATAGGAGTCGTCATGTTTTCTTTCCATTGTTCCAACTTCTGACCTTCCTAAGGGCAGACACACATTTCTGATCTTGCATGTGACTGCTGTAAGGATGCTGATGATACTGAGTCATCAGGCCATTAACGATATAAAGATGACTAGTTTGGCGACTTCTCCTGCTCAGTCACGTTCTGCTGTTTTATCAACTGAAGGTTTTTTTTGTGTATCTGGCCAACTTTAGTAAAAACCATATTCATAAAGAAAAACAAAACTTTCACCAAGGGTAAAGGAATCTAAATAGCAGATATAGGATTTTTAGGGCTTTTTAGAATATTCACTTCATAGGCAAAGGTAAAAACAGAAACAAATGTAAGAAGAAAAGCAAAGAACAACGGCATACAAAGAATAAGTAAGCAAAGCAAAACAGAACTAAACTAATGGGGGCTAAACAAAATTCTCCACAAAGACACATAAAACTTTTCCAAGATGGCCATCAGTGCACCAGTATTGCCACTACATGGAGCTGGGGGCACCTGGGTGGCTCAGTTGGTTAAGCCACTGCCTTTGGCCTGAGTCATGATCCAGAGTCCTGGGACTGAGCCCCACATCTCGCGGGGATCCCTGCTTGGCAGGGAGTCTGCTTCTCCCTCTCTCTCTGCTCTTACCTCTGCTTCTTTTCTCTCTCTATTTCTCAAATAAATAAATAAAATCTTAAAAAAAAAAAAAAAGAAGAGCCAGTATCCCAGAATATTTCTTTTCAATTAATCTTCTCAAGTATTTTTTCAGCTTCAACAAATTATTACTCCTCTTAAAACATCTAGCCTTTCTCTGTCCAGTAGCTCCTTGAATATTACAAGAACATAGCAAGCCCTCCGAACTCCCTAACCATTTCTCACATGGTTTGACACATCTGGTCCCTTTGGCACTTGGGTGCCTCTCACCGCCTCCCACCCCCCCACCCAATCACTTTGGTTTTCTGCATCTCTTCTCAAAGAATGCCCTAGAATAAAATGCAGACACTGTGTGTTGACTATCTAGGGTAAAAAGCAGAATACAAACTTTTGCCTAAAATGAAGAAATCTGAAGCATCTCAAATTCAGATGAAAGCATCCCTTAGACCCACGTTCGGCCACGA